AATCACTTGATAATCAGCTGTTAGTGTTTGTCGGTTTTTCCGTTGACCTTTTCAATTTAAAAGCCTCTCTCTCTGGCATCAAACTGTCAGACGCCAAAAGAGTATGAAAACAATGGTTGACAGCCGTTGACAGTGGTTTGTAGACAAGACTTTTGAAAGAAACTATTATTTCCTCGGGCTTTTCAAGGTTTTTTCCTAACAATGGTGATTGTGTGTAGTGTGCCTATCCATAAAAATAATTCCTATTTATTCCTATTCACCGGCGGACGTGTTTTTCCATAAGTTTCCATCAAATCCTACATTTGTCAAAACTTGGATACACAAAATCAGAATGCAGAAAGGATACTCGCAAAAGAAAGGGAAATCCACGGCCCATCAAGTATACAAAGTAATCCACGTTGAAGTTTAGTTTGCAGAAGCTTCCAAGATAATCCACCACCGTCTCCATAGCAAAGTTCTGCGAATGAAGCAGTGACTTTTCCCACATTTTCTTCCCAATTTAAAACCCTGCGTTTTTATTATCAAATTTTACCGATGGATCCATCATTCTATGTCGGTCATTGTCATTTTCCATTCACTTAACAAAGATGCCCTGCGTTTTTATTCTCATCAAATTTTACCGATGGATCCACCATTCTATGTCGGTCATTGTCATTTTCCATTCACTAAACAAAGTTAGCTAACTCATCGGTGAATCCACCGATGAGATTAAAAACGCACAAATAGCTAACTCATTGGTGAAGTCACCGATTCGAATAAAAACGAGGGGATTGCTAAACACCCAATACACATTGACATTGACAAGCAAGCAAATTTTGGCGGGAAAATCAATGTTTTCATACTTATCGTCCATCTCTTTTAATTGAAAACGTCAATTAAGTAAGTAGAAACTTTGTAAGAAGGTATCATGATTTTTTTTTCTGGGAAAATCCAAAAAACCTATTTATGTTATTGGACATACATAACCACCGGCGTATCCAGCCCATGCGTCTGGGGGGGGGGGGGGGTAATCATCCCAGGCCAGCCCGAAATTTTTTTTACCGGGTGCCACGCCCAAAATCGTTTACTTTGAGCCTTCAAAACATTTCTTCTCTAGGAAAGTGGGGAAAATTAAACATTGCGGAAAATCGATTTTCTCGCACGGCGCGGAGAAATTTTTTCTGCACGGATATCGGTGCGGAAAAATCTTTTCCGCACGGCTGTCAAAAAAAAAATCAATAATTCACTACAAGTTATGTAGGTATGTACTTATTTCCGCACGACTGACTAGAAAAACTATTGTACCTAATACATGCGGAATATCTGTTTCCGCACTCGGTTGCTTCACCGAATTCTGCTACGCGTCTTTCGGTGAACGACAGACTCGTGGGGAAAAATTTATTTTCCACACTTGTTAGGTAAATATATTCTGTACTACCAACAAATAACGAAACCGAACTCTGATAGCGAATTCCATTGGAAGGGTTAGTGCGCACTGAATGTAGTCGTGCCTTATTCTACCAGCTTGTATAAAAAAGAGATAAAAATACATTTTTTTGCACTGATTTTACCAATGGAATTCGGTATGGGATTCCCCTGAAACTTTTTAATTATAGCGAATTCTATTGGTAGAACTAATACAAAAAATGTAAGTATTTATTTCTTTCTCATGCAAGCTAGTAGAGAAAGACACGAATACACTCCGTATGCACTATCCCTTTGAATAGAATTCGCTATAAATGGCATGCGGGCAATGCGGAGACTGTGCAAACTAGAAAACAAGTTAGGGCCAGTTGCTGGAAAGTAAAAATATAAGAAATAGATTTATTTGTGAGGTGTAGGGTACATTTTTTTCGTCCATCGCAACGATCTTGGGGGGGGGGGGGGGGTAATTACCCCCATTACCTCCCCCCCTTGTATACGCCGGTGTACATAACAGCTATGGCGTAATTTCCTGGCGGTAAATTATAGCGTTTAAAATAAGTACAAATTTGTTAATTTTTTTTACGTATATTTTTGTTTTCTAAAATCAAAAAATCATCAACAATTGTTTATTTTGTTATGAAGATTAATAAAAAAAATATTTCAAAAAATTTTCCACTACCCTATTGCGTAGAACAAGCAGACAAAATTAAATTATGCAGAATTTAAATTTAAAAAAATTCAAAATCCGGCTCGAAGGACCAAAATGTGGCGGAAAATATGAAAATAGTAGAAAAAAAAAAATTAAACCCGGTACGCACAGATCACTTATAGTCTAAGAGTTAGCGGTTCATCCGACTGACCCGTTTCCCACAAAGCTACAAATTTTTTAAATATTGTTTTAATATCGGTCAATTAAGAAAGTGCCGTTCTGGCAGGCATTTCGTGGTTGCGTTATCATCGCTCAAGTTTTTGAAAATGTATTTTTTTTTTAAAACCTTCTTCCACAAGGCTACAATTTTTATGTTTTAATTTACATATGTTTAAGTGTAAAAAAAATTGACAACCTATTTCAAGGGTTGCAAGTATGTGCCAGAAGATAGCAAAGATGTTGTATGGATGATAATTCATAACCTGGTCCCAAAAGGCTGAAATTTCGAGGGAATTTTCTTTCCTTAATTTAAAAAGTATATGTAAAAAGCCAGCCTATTCTGACGGTTGCAGCATGTAATAGTTATTACGCTCGATGGGAGTGCGAGTGCAACAGAGATACGGGTTCCAATGTTAGAATGAGAGGATACGATATTATATTAGGAAGATATGACAAACGATTACTGAAATTGAAGATAAACAGAGTTATATGTAACGTATAAATTTTTATAATGGACAAATTCTTGGACACAAAATATAATTTTTAATTTTTCTTGACAAATATGGATTAGGTACTTATCGAATTTCATTAGTCTTCATCTTTGGAATCAAAACAATAATTATCATTCGCTGCATCGTTTTCGGGAAAACAAACAAAAATTTCTTATCGATAAAATGAAATAAAGGACAAATAGTACATTATACACCTAGGGACTAAAGTGATACTTTTAATCCCGAGCAGTGGCGACGCCAGAGTTCTACGTTAGGGGGGGCCAGACTGGGCCACAAAAATTTAGGGGGGGCACTTGTTTTTATTTTATTGCTTTCTTTCTTTGGAATAAAAAAGGGAAGTACCTGGATGGTACTAATATTTCTGGGGGAATCCCAGGAAAGCGGAAGCAGCATCGCGATTGCCTGTGCCCAAGAATACTTAACCTAATAGGACTGCTTATTGGGCTGAAAATGTCCGCCATTTTAGCTGCAAACCTCAACACTCGGTGTAAAATTAGCCGAGTTTAAAACAGTATAGGTCAAAAAAAACGAATTCCTAAACGTTATAATCTTGTTAAAATTACCTTCTCTTCATTTAAAATCGACGAAAAAACAAGCACAACCTGAATCGCATGGATCCCATCGAGGCCTGCGGGTGTCGTCATCACTATAAGCTTTAAATTAGTAGTCACGTCACTCGCAGGCCCTGCTGTTGCCGATATGAGAGCAAGTTTTCAGGGGGGGGCCAGCTAAATTTCAGTGGGGGCCCGCTAAATTTCAGTGGGGGCCCCGGCCCCCTTTGGCCCCCCCCTGGCGTCGCCACTGATCCCGAGACAAAATGTTTATAATAAAATATTATAATTTGTCGAGGGATTGAAAAACTTTAGTCCTGAGGTGTATACACTATTTTGTGCACTTTACTTTATTTCCCGGGGATTAAATAAAACAGGGATATTTGTTAAGAAAAATAAAAATTTATATTTTGAGCCATTTTGTGTCCAAGAATTTGTTCATTATAAAAATTTATGCGTTACATATAACTCTGTTTATCTTCAATTTCAGTAATCGTTTGTCATATTTTATATCTTCCTAATATAATATCGTATCCTCTCATTCTGACATTGGAACCCGTATGTCTGTTGTGCTCGCACTCTCATCGAGCGCCATAATTATTACATGCTGTTCTGGCAGACACGTGCAACCGTCAGAATAGGCTGGCTTTTTACATATACTTTTTAAATTAATAAAAGAATATTCCCTGGAAATTTCAACTTTGTGGGAGCAGGTTATGAATTATCATCCCTATAACAACTTTGCTATCTTCTGGCACATACTTGCAACTCTTGAAATAGGTTGTCAATTTTTTTTTACACTTAAACATATGTAAATTGAAACATTTAAAAATTGTGGCCTTGTGGGAGGTTTTTTTTTTAAAAAAAAAAAATTACATTTTCAAAAACTTGAGTGATGATGACGCAACCACGAGATGCCTGCCAGAACGGCAGTTTCTTAATTGACCGACATTAAAACATTATTTAAAGAATTTCTAGCTTTGTGGGAAACGGGTTAGTCGGATGAACCGCTAGCTCTCCTACTATTACCTTTTGAAAAGGGTTTCTGTTGGTTCTCTGAATACTGGTTCAAAATGAAGAGTGTTGACTGTAGCAGAGTACTCTGTAGCTTCTTAGGGCAGTAAAATAGGGACAGTTTCGTTGTAGTGACCGAACCGTCCGATACGACACGAATTTGTACGGATCGTGTAGCGAGTGTAGATGTCTACTATGCGGCCGAGAATATATTATTTAAAATCTCGGATAAGGCAGCATAAAAATGCAGCTGCTTCTAGCAAGTGACGTGTGCGCATATGATAAACGAAAAAAACCCTAATAAAAAATTTAGTCACAATAAAACTTTGTAGATTGTTCTGCGCAAACTAAAATAGGCTAAAAAGCCCTTTAAAGAGTTTCTTGAACATGCGTCAAACAGTATTTTGAGTTTTGTTAGGTTGACAGCAGAAATTTACTAAATTTGATGTCATCCTTAATATAGCGTGAAAATCCTATAGCATAGCAGCGCATAGCCATCTTAACCTTGTCCTTTTGGTGATATTTTTTCGGTCCTACTCCAACTACTAATGTCACTGACTCAACTCATCGAGTACAGAGTAATATTGTAATTATTATAATTTTATATTTCCAACAAAGATCATTCAATTTTTAAGTTATTGCTATATTTACCTATCCTCTTATTAAATGCAATGACGCCCATAGATTCCAGAGTCCATTTATATATTTCGTTTTGGAAATCTTCCGGCATTTCATTTTTAGAATTACTCTTAGAAAAACGTCTTATGTTATCAATAAATTCATTCGCTACGTCATCCATACTATCCACATACATTTCCGCTGTTCTCGGTTGCATTAAAATTTTATTCACAACTGTTCTGAATTTGAACCATTCCTCTCCTTGGCTAAAATAACGTGTTTAGTATAACATAGTTTTCAGATTAATATTTAAATTACACTTACACTGTCAAAACTCCACCAACTCCTTGATAGGCGTCATCTCTTACATGATTTCTGTAATAATCAAATGATGGAAGACCGTATCTAATTGGCCAAGGACCTTCGTTACGATGAACCTAAAAATCAATTTATTTTCTCAAATTAAATCACATAGGTATGTATACCATACCAATTAATCAAACTATCTATACCTTTTCGATATCATCAGGATCATAAGCGAATAATATTGGATCTTTTAAAGGGATTCCATTTAAATAAGTTAAATTTCCATGTTGTTTCTGTAGCCTAAAATAGTAAAATATAAAATCCTGAATACGTATTTTTTTAGGTGGAACCTTTCGTGTAACTCCAGCATTTCAACATTATAAAATTCCGCTCCAGGAAGGAACCTCCAAAAATTCCCAATAATCGGCAAAGCTTTCGGTCCAGGAATTTCTTTGAACGGTTTAGCATCATCCCAACCTTCGGGCTTCAAATCTTCATCGCTATCCAGAGCTTTGTTTCCCATTTTTTTATAGTAACTGTCTCTGCCTGATATCACTTCGACTGTTGTTTGTTTGGGGCTGTTTACTGAAATCTTTCTGGTTATGATGGTGTAGATCGGACGGATTTTTGCAGACATTTTGATGCAGTCAACTAAGGAAAAGTAGATTCAACAAAAAAATGCATATAGCAGTAGTTACCTACTTTGGACCCTCTAAAAATTTAGTTATATTTTTTGGCATGAAACCTAATTAAAAATAAATGATAATATTGGTTTCTTACTTTCTTTAATTGCACAATTAAAACAGTTCAAAATAACAATCGGTACTGATAATAGTTTATTAGTGGATGGCGGATCAGTACACTTGCACTTTCAATAAGAGTTTGTTAAGGTTGTTTGTGCTTGACTTATTTGCACTAAACGATTTCCAGGAAATAAATGCAAACATTATATCAGCTGGCACAAGGCACTTAGGTTCAAATAAAAATAGACACAGATGAAAGCTATTATTATATATTAGATTGTTCCACTGCATTCTATCCAGGCGATAACATCGGAACGCGTCATCCAATATAATTGCAATTCTGGGGATTTAGATAACTTTTTGTGCCACTTTTAAATATGATTTGTCCAATTTAACCACTTTCCCATAAAGTACGAACAACACTGCGCGAAAAAACACGAGTTATGGAAAAGAAATAGTACATTGAAACTTATTTATTTACACAGGAACTTCGAGAATAAGAAAAACAGACAAGTAATTCAAATTAACGAATTTCTTGAAGTTCTGCATTAAAAACTGCACAGTTGCGAAATAAAAATTACTTGGCCATTTAGATAAGATAATATTTTTATATTGCAACACAGTCTGAGTCAGATAAACAAACAGAATACCTATAATAATAATTAGGTAGTTATTTATATAACAAGGTTGCGAAATAGAATTTCGAGCATGAGCAAATATTATCATCATAATAGGAATAGGTCTGTTCTCACGAGAGTATCTGACAGTTTGTAAACTGTCGGATTCTTATCATACCCAATATGGAGCAAAGGCGCGAAATTCTTTCGCAACCGATTTGAATACATTATTTTCCTAAGAACTGCACAAGATAATAGGACTTTCTGGTACGCAAAAATCGTCAGAATATATTGTTACGAAATTCCCTGAGCCCGGCCTAGTTCTAAGAAATTACCTACTTATTTATGTCAGGCAGTACGTCTTTTCTGGGAATCCTTCTATTATATTCGGTAAACATATTTTTCTAGATAGATACGTAGTACGATTTTGACTATAAATAGCGTGTATAGTGTTATATGAGCACTGTGGCACCCAACCCTACATGATAGATATAGCCTATATATAGAACATTACCAGTTTTTAATATTAATAAATTATATATTAGAAGTCAGTCAGTTATCAAAGACTGTTGTAGGTAATCATTTATCATTTATAATTATAATATTAATTAACAAAAACCTATGTGTCTCAATCAAGTAATATAACATGGCGCAGTCTTGTGGTAATTGAATAAATCGATAAAAAGCTTTCTGCGTTAATAAGCACATTTTTCGAAGAAAAATAATGATGAGTAATGTAAGGCTGCTACCGCCCTTGTCCTCTGAGGGAAACCTCTCAGAAAACTTTAAGAGGTTTAAACAGCATTGGGAGATATAGGTATTTAAGTAGTTGCAAGTGGAAAGGATGATAAGGAAGACAAAGTTAAGATAGCGACCCTTTCAAATCTTATTGGTGAGGAAGGCATAGAGATATACCTACAACACCTTGAAATTGACAGATGATTAGAAAAAGGTCTATAAAACTGTCCTTGAAGAGTTGGCAACCTATTTTACACCTAGGAAAAATGTAGTATATGAAAGATTTGTGTTTTACAATAGAAAACAGGAAGAGAGGGAAACCTTTGATCATTTTGCAACAGATTTGAGAAAGCTAGTAAAAAATTATTGCGCTTCATGAGTCTGAGCAAAGCTTTGCAAGAAAAATTGCTGCAGATGGATAAGCTTGACTTGGAGAAAGCTACTAAAGTGTGTCGAGCACACGAGATACCAAGTGCACAGGTAAAAGAACTCCAAGGTACCAGCAGTGAGGTGAAAATTGATGCCTTAAAGAGGAACAACTCTCGCCCATATAAAACATTTCAAAAGAGTCGGGACAATAGACATGTTACCGAGGGTAATATGGAGGCATTCGATTGCCGAAGTTGTGGTTTGACTCATGCACATCGACAGTGTCTGGTAAAAGATGCAGCAATTGTCAAAAATATGGCCATTTCAGGAAAATGTGTAGAAATAAAAACGTAAGTGTGAAAGAATTCCTATTGAAGTCTAATGAAAATGACAATAATAATGATAGCTACTCTGAAGATGAACTTTTACTGGCAAGCATCACAGTAAATGAAGTGAAAAGCTGCAATGAGTGGATTGAATCTCTGAAGATTGGTAAGGTGTAGATTAACTTCAAAATTGACACTGGCTCACAGGTGACTATTATTTCAAAAAATGTATTTTATAAAATAACCCAAACTAACCCAAATGAAAATATCAAGCTAAGTAAATGTAGTGTAACTCTTGAGGCCTATGGTGGTTTTAAAATTTCACCTTTGTGGTCTATAAATATAGATTGCCGATTTAAAAATGAAAAGTTTACTATGATGTTTGTTGTAGTTGAAGGAAATTTAAAACCAATATTGGTTCTGTCAAGTTGCATAAACTTAAATTTAATATCCAAGGTAGATTCGATAACAAAGACAATTTTATCAAGCAAAAGCAAGATGTTTTCATGGGGTAGATTTAACCAAAAATGTACACTTAAATTGAAAAAGAATGCCACCCCGTAGAGTGCCATTGGCAATAAAAAGTAGATTGAAAGCTCATTTAGACAGCTTAGAGAAGAGAGGCATCATTTCTAAATTTGAGGAACCTACAGTCGTGATAATAGAAAAAAATTACAAAAGTTTGGATCCAAGGGATCTCAATGAAGCATTAGAACGTGAGTATTGCATTATTCCCATACTAGATGAAATACGTTCGGAGCTTCAAGGTCAAAATTATTTCACGGTTTTGGATTTTGAGGAGGGATTTTATCAAGTGAAATTGAGTGAAAAATCTAGCAATAAAGCTATGTGCATTTGGCATAGTTTTTGCTTTATATTAATTCAACAGGCTTCCATTCGGGATAAATTGTGTACCAGAATTTTTTCAAAAATTAAATAATAGAAATTTTGATGATATAGAGGGTTGTTTAGTCTATATTGATGATTTTCTGATTTTTGGGGATTGTCCAGAGTCACATGATAAGGCCTTGAATGATGTTTTTGCAACATGCTAGACAACTTAATGTGAAATTCAATAGTGTTAAGTTACAATACAGGGTAAATGAAGTAGAATATCTAAAATATTTAACAATGAGGAAATGCAACCAGATCAGGAGAAAATTAGGGCAATTATAGGTCTTAAAGAGCCTAAAGATAAAAAAGAATTACAAAAAATCTTGGGTATAATTAACTATCTCCGCAGTTACATTCCCAAATTTTCGACCTTAACTGCACCTCTTAGAGAGTTGCTTAAAGATAACATAGTATGAGTATGGACCAAAAAACAGGCTGATGCTTTGAATAATATTAAATCAGTTTTAAGTTCCCCTTCAGTTATGGCAAATTTTGATGAGGCTAAACCAATAATCAAACAGACTGACAGTAGTTAGAGTGAGCTTGGTTGCTGTTTACTGCAAAATAGTAGACTCGTTACATGTGCGTCACATGCTTCAACTGATGCTGAGTCAAGGTTTAGTCAAATTGAAAAAGAGTTCACAGCAATTTTGTGGTCCTACACAAAGTTTCAAAATTTTATTTATGGTAGAGAAGTAACAATAGGATCTCAATAGTACCTAGGCCAGGAAAAGAAATGTACATTGCAGACCTTTTATCAAGAAATTATTTGCTCGAGTCGACAGTAGATGATAAATTCATTACTGAAGTAATACAGTCCACCAATGTGACAAAAGAAAAAAAAACAGAGTTTCAGCAAGAATCAGAGCGAGATTCCTGTATTCAAAAAATTATATTTTATTGCAATCAAGACTGGCCCTCAGATATTTCAAAAGTAGTCCTTGAAGCACAACCATATTTTCAGATACGCAATGATATATAGGTATATACTTGATGGTTTAGCTTTTCACAATAGCCGAATTATGGTGCCAAAATCACTTCAAGTGCAGATGCTGACATTTCTTCATGAAACACACTATGGAATTACCAAAACACAACAAAGGGCGAAACAATCTTTATTCTGGCCTCGAATTAATAGTGACATAGAAAACAATATTGAAGAGTGAAAAACATAAGAAGCAATGTGAAAAAGCCAATGATACCTACTTAGAAAATTTACAGATTTACCATTTGAGAAAGTAGGCAGTGATATTCTAGAATATGGAGGAAATTCTTAACTAGTCATAATAGACTATTTCTCAAAATGGTTAGAAGTTATAAGGCTCTAAAGAAAAACTTCTGGAGCTATTATTGCGGCCATCCCCACAGAGGTTTATGCAGATAATATGCCATATAATTCAAAAGAATGTTTAGATTTCGCAAGAAGTTGTTGTTTCAAGTTTTGTCACATCTAGCCCTTATTACCCCAAGTCCAAAGGACTGGCTGAAAGAGCAGTTGGAATAGCCAAAGACATGTTAAGGAAATGCCACGATTTAGATTTGGCTCTGCTTGAATATCGCAATACTCCAGTCATAGGAATGGATAAATCTCCTGCCCAACTACTAACAGCTATACTAGTAAGAGCCAAACTGCCTTCAGCAAAACAGTTGTCAATTCCTACTTCGATTGATTGTGAGGAAGAAAAACAGAAGTTGGAAAAAAATAGAGACATCTACAAAAATTACTATTACAGGAATGCAGTAATAAGAAAAGAATTTGGAGAAAATGATTATGTAGTCATTCAGGAAGGCAAAACTTGGCTACCTGCAATAGTTACCAAAAAATTAGATACTCTAAGGTCTTATATAGTACAAAGAAACAGTAGCCACATTAGACCATCTCGAGGACATCATCAATGAAAATTAATCAAAAATGAGTGCATAGTGCATCAAGCGACAGTAATTTTTCAGCCACAGTTGAGCAACCAGTGAAATTGAAAAGATCTGAAAGAAAGAGAGTGCCAAAGAGATTTGATGAGTAACTTCGTTACTTACCTATGCTTGGAGAATGAAAATGTGAATTTTACTAAGGACGTGCCAGCAACAGTTTCAGAAGCATTATCCCGACCAGATGGTGAAAAGTGACGGCAAGCTTTGCAGGAAGAGTTAAGTATTCGTTTGAGGAAAATGACACACACAATGGGACTTAGGGTATTTTCCGGATAGAGGGGCAGTCGTAGATTGTAAATAGGTTTAGGAGGTGAAGTGCGACAGTGATAACATGCGGATATATCGAGCCAAATTGGTGGCTATAAAGGCTCAGAAAAAAGCTATTGAAAACACAGAAACATTTGCACGAGTGGTAAAACTTAGTAATTACTTAGGTTTTTAGAAGAAAATGTATAGTTCTTGTACGTGAAACAGACCTGTTAGGTCAACTTGGTTAACTGGGTCTACGGGGTAACTTTGCACTCATTTAAATTCTTGGGGGGAAAGCAATATTCTGTTAGTCTCATCGTCTTGTTTGGTTGTTCTTGAAGTCATCTGATCCAAGCATGTGAATTTTTGCATTTGGTCTTCCATTTTGTGACATGATTTTCGCAAATACAAAAAGATTATAAAGATAGCCTAGAGCAGCGGTTCCCAACCGGTGGGTCGCGACCCCTAAGGGGGTCGCATAGGGTTTTTGGAGGGGTCGCAATATCAAGCTGAGGAATGACTTTACAGCACCTGCCCTATTTCAGGAAAAATTCTTGACTGAATTTTGATCTGCCATGCATAGTTCATATCCTTATGTCGTCCTGCTTGTGCTTTCTTTTTTTTTAGTGTACTATTACTATTTGCCTACTTACCTTCGTGAAAGTGGTTTTGATCAACTATTGCAAATTAGAACAAAGGCCAGAAATAGACTGGGAGTTGAAGATGGCATAAGATTGGCTTTAACAAAAACTCAACCAAGAATTCCAAAACTTGTTACGGAGATGCAAGCTCAGTCATCACTATCAAAATAAAAATTGCCTTTTTGTATTTAGTTAGGAAATATTAATATTTTTGTTAAAGATTTCTTGAATAAATGAAATTTTGTTTTTTATTTATTATGGGTAGGGGGTCGTGAACTTATGAGCAAATCTGTAAAAGGGTCGTGACTAAGAAAAGGTTGGGAACCACTGGCCTAGAGCATGAAACTGCACATGATAAATGGTAAGTCTATAGTAAGTACATCGTTCTAATTATTTTTACCAAATATGCATGGTTAGATTAAAAAAACCTTAAAAAGTGCCTTGCTATTTTTGTTTGAGGTTAGCTTTCTTACTGGAGGTATACAAACGGTGGTGCCCAGTTGCCCCGGCAAATTTAGCATTTTGGGAAACTGGGCCTACCATTTTTGGGGTTTTGGGCCATAGTGCCCAGTTAAACTAGTTTGATTTCCAATTTCTTGTTTTTTCAGAAAATGGTTAGAGAATACAGAAAAACGCAAATGAAAATAAAACTGTTTATGGCGCTTGTGCATTTTACAATGTCCCAAGAACGACGCTTAGGCACTATATAAATGGACCACGAGGAAGTAGAGTTTTATCTGAAGCAAATAGAGAGGGAGGCGGACGTTACGCTTTAGGGTTGGAGACAGAACGGAATCTGGCTTCACTCCTGGGCACTATGCAAAAATGGTCTTTCAAGATCGGAAGTGCTTGATTTGGTACAGAAGTATGTAAAGTCGAATAAAATCAAAAGGTTTACAGATGATCGACCTGGCGATGGATGGTTTATAAATTTTTGGTAGTCGAAATAAACTTTCGATTAAAAAACCCCAAGGTGTCGAGGTTACCAGAAAAAAAAAAACAAGAGAATCCATGGGCAATATATGGTTTTTTTGATCTCTTGGAAAAGATGATAACTGACTTACATTTAGAAGGCGAAGCCAATCAAATCTTCAACTGCGACGAAACGTCATTCTCTTCAAATCCTTCCAAGAATAAAATAGTACGGTACAGTATGGTACAAAATGCACCAGAACGATTTCAACATGCGGAAGAGAAAACACTACAGTTTTAGTATGGTTCAGCTTCGGGTGATAAACTACCACTATTAACCATATTCAAAGGCAAAAATGTTATGGAATCATGGTTTCTAATTTCCAAAGAGGATGGATGGCAGTGGCGGCTCCTATATTAGAAATGCGGGGGTTGCAATTCCAATTTCAGCCTTATCAGATAATGATCGACCACAGAATGGCTCTGCAATTAAACTTTGAACATTTTCTTGTCACGCACCACACCACAACAGGGTCGGATTAAGGTCTTTTGGGGCCCGGGGCTTTTTCACAAAAGGGGCCCCCAGGTCCCTGAAATAAATTCAAACGTCACTCAAACAAAATTTTACCTTGCAGGTGTATTTATTACAGTGACTCAGAATTAGGCATTCCAATGACCTGTCAAAAAGTGCGTTGTGGGCGGAAGTTCATTATCCCGTATATGAGAGTATGGAATTTAAAGCTTTTTAAAGTGCATTTTGTGGTTGTTTTGTGAATGAACTCTAATATTTTTTTTATTTTATTGACTTCATTAGTGTTTCTTCCAATTAAAAAAGCCACAAACGTGTCTTGTACTTGTAGTTGATTGTGGAAGTAGTTTCAACAAGGTAACAAGGATGATGTCAGGCTTTTTCCATTGCCCTCTGTTTTAAAATTTTCCAATTAAAACGTGAAAATTTTCACTACCACTGTTCCTGCATCTAAATGTAAGCCAGACTCAAAATACTTGTGAGAATCTAAGCTTTTATAGGCTTCCATTTGCTCATCGATGTGAAATTTGTTAAAACTGTGGGTCAAAATGTCAACTGGACATTTTTTCAAACTAACCGTTCGCCCACATCCCGATTTTCCTGCATTTAAGTCTTTAGATATTCACTCTGCATCTCAAAAAGTATATTATAACTGTAATTAAAGTCTGATTTTTTTTAGATTGAAAATATTCCAAATAAACTCAAGATAAACAAACAAACGTCAAATTTTCCACACTGGCCCGGATAGTGCGCCATCTATCAATAATTATACCAGCTACTCAATAATAATATTATAGGGTAGTGTTGTGTTTGATATAATTAATAGATAATAGATGGCGAAATCGCAATTGTAAAATTATATGCATGATTTCTTCCCCGTGTGAGATGGTGTTTTGGGCCCCCCCTCATTTCGGTGCCCGGGGCTTTAGCCCCCAAAGCCCCCAAAGCCCCCCCTTAATCCGGCCCTGCACCACAAACTAAAATAAAATATTTTAAAACAAATCTAATCTGCGATGTGTGCAAAAAAGTGAAGAAAGTTTGCAGTTTGCCTGCAACCTGCTGGAGCTTATGGGACGAAATTGAAATCCACGCGCAGATAGGCACCACATATGCGCCGCCATATAAGCCGATCGGGTTGCATTCGAGCTGCAATCCGGCGCGGCGGCGTGTCAGTTATTGCCATTTTGGCGAAGGTGGTCAAATTATTTTAATAAATTAACTGTGGAACAGCTTCTCGCGTGATATGTAGGTACCAAATTCGTGTATAATTTATTTTTAAAATATAATTAGGTACTAAAATATTAGTTCTTTTTTGTTTTAGTGTTTTCAACTTTTGTTTTGGGGGTTGCGCAAACCTGCAAACCTTAGGAAGAGCTACCACTGATGGATGGTGTTATCAATTTCTGTAAAGTGGATTAAAACATGTTTTTTTTTTTTTATCGAATGTTCCAAAAGAACGCCCCCTGTTATTGATACTAGATGGCTACGGTACACATATTTCCTGCGAATACATTTATGCTGCAATGCAAAATCAAGTATTTATTTTGAAACTTCCTCCGCATTCCGCACACATCTTACAACCCCAACAACAAACATAACCCACACTTCATTTGAGACACTGCTGTCAAGTTTACTTGAAAGAAATGCTGCAACAAGCTCTGGAGGAATGCAAACAAAAAGAAGAAGAATATGTTCCAGTGCAGAGCTTATTACAACACCAGAATATCTTAACCAAAAAAAGGAAGAAGAAAGATTGTAGAAGGAAGAAGAGGACAAAAAAACTCAGAGAAAGCAGGCAAGAACAAAAAATACAATGAATAAGTTAGACTTCGACTTGGAGAACTATACCTTGAACGAAGCAGAATTGGGAAAGAAACTGGAAGATCCAACCTGGAAAGGTAAATCCCACGCATCCCAAGTTGTGAAGAAAAAAAAAGGTTACAGATCCGCCAAGCTCTGACTCTGAGAATTCTGAAGATGATCTGGTGTTATCTTCAGAGGAGGACGAGGAAAGCCCTATTGCTGTTGTCGAAGGAGATTATATTTTAGTAATGTATAATTCACAACCGTATCCAGGAAAAGTACTCTCAAAGTGGAAATTCTGCATTGGGAAAAAAGTGGTATTCCTGGCGCTGGCCAAACAGACCAGATAAACTCTCCTACGATGAAACGAAAATAATAAAAATTATCCAAAAGCCTCAGGAACAAAATAGAAAAAGAGCTTTCGTTATTCCTGAAATGGAAAGATATTTTGCTCATAAGTCTTGGATAGGTTCATTTCTATTCCGTCATTCATCCTTGAAGTATTTGAACTTTGAACGTAGAAAAGATTTTGATTTTTCATGCATTCGTTTATTTTTGTAATATTTTTTTTCAGCATTTTGTTACGATTTTATTGCAACTGCCATAACTCGAAGCATAATTGTCCGATTTCCACGAAATTTGGAATCAAAATTTATGAAGATGAACGTGTAGGCTCAGTTACCCCTGTAAACTTCTAATGTAATTTTGTAATTAGTATTATAAATAGGTGGCATAGGCACAGTTACCCCGAACTTCTGGGTAACTGGGCATCAGTGACTGAATTTAAAAAAAAAATTAAATTAAAAATTACAAACCCAGATCAATATTTTTCTTACTACATATAAAGTAGATCCCTAGTTAGCACACACACAAAAAATAAGCTTGAAATGCCCTAAATAAGCAACGGTATTGGTATTTAAATTTTTAGTGATGAAATTTTAGGTCCCAGTTAACCAAGTTGACCTTAGATGAATTAATGCTAATGTTGAATTTGGATAAATCAATGTGTGAGCACTGGCTTGATATCACTATCTTGTAATTGGTTACTTCTAAGCTGTTAGGAACTCTATTATTGATCCGTTTTAAATTACAGGCTTCTAACAGGAACTCCTTTACGCTGGTCTATTCTTAGGCAGAGCTTGCATATTTGTGGAAATGGTCATCATCCTTGACTATTGCTAACAGTTCCTTTCTTGTAACGCAGTAATTTCTCTCGGGCTTGGTAAGCACTGTACTTTTCGTCACCATATTGTATTTGCGACAGAATAGCTCGGATGCCTGTGTTCTGTATCCGTCTGTATCCTAAATAAATTTTCCAAGTACCTGTGGGTAGCCTTAGGACGTAGGACATAGAGCTGCTTTTAGCCTCCTAAAAGCTACCTACGTCAGAGTCCTTTCTCCAATCAAAAATAGCCTTTTCTTCAGTAAGCTTATGCAACGGCGATGCAACCTTAGCAGATCCTTCTACAAATCGTGTGTATTATGTACAAAGCCGAAGGAAACTTTTGAGTTCATGTTTGTTCCGAGCTCGAGGCTAATGGTGAATTGCTTAAATTTTTGTCTCGTCAGTATAAATTCCTTCGGCTAAAATTACGTGGTCAAGAAAATCAACGCGCTGTTGGAAGGGTGCACATTTCTTGTCATTTAATCGGAGGTTTGCCTTAAGGATACGAGTAAATACTTCTTGTAAGTTATATAGGTGCTCATCCTAAATTTTTTCCATCTCTAACACATCATTCAGGTAAACAAGGCATACTTACCACATGAGTTCTGGTAGTACGATATCCCTAACCTCTCGAAGTAGCGGGGGCGTTACAGAGTCCAAAAGGCATTACCTCAAATTGGTAAAGTCTCTTTGTCTTTTCCGTCAATACTCACCTGCCAGTATCCGCTTTTCAAAAGTAGAAAACCATTTTGAGTCTGCCAATATCGTAAGGGTATCATCAATAGCTGTCTTTCTTAGCATCATCGTTAAGCTTTCTGTAATCGACGCAAAATCTGGTGGATACATATTTCTTTGTTACTAGTACAATTGGCGATGACCATGGATTTGAAAACTCTTCAACAACTACCTCTGCAAGCAAACTGTGTACTAATAACTCCACTTTTTGTTGTTTGGTCATGGAAAGTCTTCTAAGTGGTTGACAGATCAGATGAGCACTGCCAGTATTGATTTCATACTTGATGTTCATCTTACCAGTTTCGCCATTTTAACCTTGTTCTCACAAAGGAACTTGAGCCTTCTAATTTTATAGAGGAGAGATGTCGCCAAGATGTTTCGAATTTTCGAGGAAATCATGAACACCAATAAAATTTTCATTTATAAAACGACTATCGGAATAATTACTAACCAAAATATTTGGATGATTTGTAAAGGACTAGTATTTGAATATAAAATAATGTAAAAGGTAGAATGCTAGATGCCTGGGATAAAAGACTTGACTGTTCAGAAGGGACCTATTCACTTATAATTTTGAAAAGATTCAATCAGTATGGACCTGACAAAAGCAGAACATTCTAAAACGGCTTCATACTTACAGGCTTCCAATTGTTTCAAACTCAAAAACTTATTAAACTATGTTTGAACTCGTCTTGTTTCGCCTGGAACTAATATTGTACATATAGTTTGAAATAAGTATAATAAAATTAACTTGCCCGTGATTTCCATCAACATATGATTGGTTTTTAATTAAACATTTCCTGTTAATAAAATTTGAATACTTGAAAATGCAAATATAGGTAAATTATTATACCTACTTTGACCGATAATTTTTTTTTTTTTAACGGAAGCAGTTTCGAACGTCACAAGGCAATTATTAGTGTTCAAAGAACTGGACCATTAAATTTGCAATTCGGTTCTACCTAATTGAATAATTACGGCACTTATCAAGCACGTCTATAGTGACTAGGAGAGAAATAAAAATTAAATTAAAATAATATTATTAGTGGTAAAAAGTGTATTGAATAGAAATATTACATAGGTTTGGAACTTTAAGTTCCAAACAGAATTGTTCACGTGCCAAATCTGTATCAGTGATGTGTTGATATTTAGATGCAGAAGTAGAAATAATACGACTAAGGCTGGCAACATAATATAGTGGAAATATGAAGCAATTTTTAAAAATTAACAAGAAATCTGGAACAAAGCTTAAAAACACAAGTTAAAATTATAGTGTCAAAAAAAAATAGTTCATTCAATCATAAACATACAAAGTAGTCGGAAAATAAATTAAAAGATCGAGCAAATAATTCATACTTCGAGAGGTAAAGTCGCAGGTGGTGTCGCTCTAAAATTTTCACATAAAGTGTCTCTAAAGTAGAAAAAAATCCAGCATCTGTTGAAGTGTCGATCCAGTCTCTGATAATATTGTCTTTCCATCTATATACGCTGCACTTTACTTTCGTTGCAAAAGAAAATATTACGTTCGACAAATTAAGTTTACTATCAAATTCAGCGAAAGTTGATTTTTCTCTAAGGAATTGAGTAGTTTTTTTCTTTCCTGTAACTCATTTTTTTTAGGAGAAAAGCTCTTCGAGGGTCCTGATTACACTAGGAGTGTTCCACAATGAGCTAATCTACGATTTTTGAAAACTTGCGTGACTTCCGTTTGTCAAAGAAATCACTTGAAAATCTTATCTCATCTTTCCATTTTCAGTCTAAAAATTATAATCAATCCAGGCACGCAATACATGGCTAATTAACATTCCTATTAAACCTGAAATTCCTAATCCCAGTTTTGCGCAATTATTTTTGGCACAGACACCAAAATGTAACTGACATTATTTCATACAAAGTGCCGCTTTCATTAATTTCAAAATTAATTTAAATGTCGGCCAAACATAAAAATACAAGCAAAATGGCTTACAATTTGAATGGGAGAGGAATTTTGTCAGAGAAATTCTGAGAGTATCAGCAAGCCATGAAATTAGGCTTTTGAAAAGCGGGGCGGCTTGAAGAACTAAATTATTTGAGGAATTGCCACAAAATAAGGTAGATGTACACAAAAGAAAAACTCTTAAAGTTAGCAGCCGTGAAATTATTCGTTTTTCTGTAGATTAGCATTCTTTTTTGACGGAGAAATTCGGGTGATAGTGCTTTAGGGTAGGTGGGTTTATGTGTCTTTTAATGCCAACATAATGTTATAGAAGAAAAGAAGAATAAAAAAAGGTGGACAAAATATAAATTTGAGAAAGCAATATAACTCTAAATAAATTTCTTTATTAGATAAGGATAAGTATCACGTTATAATTTAAGCTATTTGAACGGAAAACTTTTTACGCATTTTGCATTATTTGCGTCTGTAGGTTGCCAAGCTAATTATTTATAGAATAGAATAAAGAATTCCTAAATTCTTCCGCAAAAAAATCTACGGAGCCTTATTCTTAGCGGTTTTTAAACTCTTGATATTCCAGGAAAATTGAATTATCTTCTATTACCTTATTGTTCAGGCTGTGTGCCTGAAGATTACACTTCATGCTGAACTACGGCTTGAGTCAAGCAGCGGGACGGTTAGGACTTTGTGGGATATTCACTATCAGAGAGCAGCCTCACTCTCGCTATGCCCAAGGAGGTTTGAGCAGTGGGCAGAGTAGGTAAGTTGTAGAAGTATTGAGAGACGCCGTACACTGGTTGAATCTGATTTATTGAGTATGATATATCGTCTTTTATATTAAATCGATATTATTAGGTACGTGATATTTTGATATAATTATTTGCAGTGCGAGGACGCATATTGTTTTATATCCTGATATGCCTAAAAATATTGCATGCTTATAGTCTAGTTTTCATATTGTTTGATATTATAATAAACTTGACCTTAATTAGGTTTAGTAAAGATTTAAGTTTTGATGAAATTTTTATGTATAATTCGTAATTATTTATTCTGCCGTCTCTCCAGAATAGAAGATCTCAAATACTGTATTTCAAACTCGTCTTTCTTGTCTTCGCATCCACCCATTCTTCCGTTCTGTTTGGTTTGTTGGTCTCTCAGGATGATTTTTTTCGTATACCATACCCTTCTGCAATGCCATTGCTGATTATCCCAATGGTAGTGATGCTGCTAATGGCTACAGAATGATGATGAATATTCCGCCATACTGTGCTGCCCAACTCTGCATTCAAATTCTTCTCGTCGTCTTCCAACTTTTTCAGGTTGTGATTTAGTCTGAAAACTGACTCGAAGGGTAGATTCTGAAGGTGCTTCACAATGACTGTAGTGTTTATTACTATTAGTGTAGTCAATCTAGGCAGGTTTATGCAGGTGAGGTAGAAAAAATTAGTAACAAAGTGATCTCTGCGGGATTGAGTAGTCAATAGAGTCTTAATTAATCCCTCAAAAATCGCATTTTGTCGCATTAGTGGAACCTGGAAAAAAATGGCCGCCATCTTGAATTTTTTCGAATCTATTGAATATTTCGTATGCATTATATCAAAAAAAATTAAGAGCACTTTTCTGTGGAAAATAAAAACTTATCTATAATGAAAGAAATTTCAATACTATATTAGCTGGAAAACAAAAAAGTTATTGAAATTTATTTTATTTGAAAATCTGCAAATTTTTGAAGTTTAGGTAATATCACGAAATGTATGAATTTTTCTAATAAAACTTTCTGTAGAACATTGAAGATACCTATATTGAGTTAAAAAAAACATCAGTCATTATCGAAAAGTTTGATATCAAAGGTTTAAAGGATGGTCTCAAGTTTCCAGATACAATTCTCTCACACTGCAAGAAACCAAATGATGCCTGGGGTTTAGAAGTTCAAAAGAGGATATGTAGGGAAATAGATCTTGTAGCTGCAGAACCTAAGTATTACGCAAACTGTGCAGTCAATTTTTGAAGCAAAAGAGCCATGAAAAATCTGGCAGGCCTTTAGATATGGACTGTGAAGAAGCATTTGAAAATTTATTCCGCGATATTCAGAATGAGAACGAAAACTGCCAATTTTCGATCAAAGAACTGCAAGAAAAGTTAGTGTCATACTTACCTGAAAATGTTACACCTTAGTCCGAAAAAAATTTAAAACTTGAAAACATTGTATTAATTACAGAAGTCCCAGGAAAGCCAGCCGTGTTTTGTTTAAAAAACAAGTGTGATGATTGGATTAAAAACAATAAAAAGACTGAAGAAGAACGACTTAAAGTATTAAAAGCGGCAGCACAAATTTCAAGAGAAGATAATATAAGGGTCATGGTTTGCAACGTTGATACTTATCCTCCGGTTGACTTGGGGGGACAGAACCAATTCCCACCCAACGGCAACAATAAGGAAATCAAAATTAACGCATTGAAAAATTTTGTTATTTATCAGTTCTAGTTAAGTGATTTATTTCACCGCTTATGCTTAGCTTAGGGATTCAGCTGCACCGGAAATACGCCTACAGATACTTAATAGATCTTTTGTCAAAAATTGGTGTAACCGTGGCATATTCTAAATGCTTAGCTTTTGAAAATTCGGCAATAACTAACAACAAAGACGATGTTCCAGAAAATAGTTTTATTCAGTTCGTGTTTGACAATGCGGATTTTAATATCCGAACTATCGACAGACTTGGTACTTTCAACTTCATGGGAGGAATAATGTGCATATCGCCGTCTAATATCGTAACTGTTCCGACGTTACAAAGACAAAATACTCGAGAGTTGTCAGCTGTTAAAGGAAAGTTTGGCAGTATACAAGTAAGATTGAATATTTAAATATATCCGAGACGTTATGTTGTTTTTATTTATAGTTTTTTAAAAAAACATCAAAGTCTGGACTGTCTACCATCGCAATGGACTGGGATGAAAATGATACAATCAACAGCTGCAATGTTTTGGCAACCAGCGCAGATTCACTTTGGATTATGGGTAGCGTCTTTCGTTTTCCATGTCGATCATCTTGGAATGGATTTATGTCTACAGTCAAAACAAGCACAGTTACCACTGACAGTAATATAATTCCAATACCGTTCATTAACATGGATCCTGGAAATCTGAATACAATTTATACAGCATTGTTTTTTGCTGCCGAAAAAATTAAACAATATGAAAAGCCATATATTATAACATTTGATAAACCCCTTTTTCAGAAAGCTGTGGACATAGTTACAGCCTCAAACAAAAGTAATATTGTAAGCTCAGTAATAGACTAGGCGGCTTCCATACATTAATGTCTTTTATTTACGACTAATGTATAATGTGCCTATTATATTTGTGATTTTGGCAGTATAATGACATATGTTATTCCTCCAGGGATTAATGATGAGTAGCGGGATTAATGGTCATTATTCCACAAAAGTGTCAGTGTCAAACGTGTAGTGCTTGTGGATTTGTATTGAAAATTATGAGACGGATGAAATTTGTTCATTGAAAATCTCAAATAAATTAATTTGTCGTAAATAAAGTAGAGTATACTACTCGCAATAATGGCTATTATTCCCTCGGAATGTTACTCCCTCGCCGCTAACGCGCCTCAGTTCGTAATAATCCTCGGGAATAATAGCTATCATTATTGACTCGTGGTATAATCTACTATTATGGGGAGTGTAGGTAACATTATGGCAGGAAGTGGGCTAGAAGAGTTTTGGAGTACGGTGTAAGCTAAAAACACAGTGCCCCATTTAATGAGCGGTCATGCCTATTCAAGGGTGTTGCGTGCACATTTTTTAGTTCATGAAGCATTGAGCGTAATAATATCGAGAGACCTCTCGTTAACTGAAGAAAATATTGTCAACTACTTAAGTAAATACCA